CTCTGGTTCCATCTGCTGCAGCAAATCCCCCTCTTCTGTGCTGAAAAGCATCTTCACCAGATCATCCGCCTGCACGCGCTCCTGTGGGGCAGACCCATGGGAATAAGCACGTCGCCATTGTCCCCCCCAAAAAAAACCCACCCGCTGCCGAGGAGGGAGCTTACTCGCTCGCTGTGTCGAGGGTCCAGGGTGAACCAGAGGGCGATGGCACAGCGTTGGCCCTTGGTCACGGCTTTCACCCCATGGGGGTTCTCCGAACCGGAGGAGAAGCCCACAGCACGACCACACTGTGGCTGAACCTCCGCCTGCAATGGGAGATCCTGGTCAGGACGCAGCTGGTGGGTGAGGATGCGAGTTGGTCCCCCCAACCCAACTTCATGCCTTGCCGTGGCACAGGGGACTTTCCCAGGGGATGGGATCAGCAGGCAGGAGGTGGATTTGGTGTTAGGGCCATGCATGGATCCTCAAGGAGCTGAGCTACTTACAGTCTCAGTCTTGGCATCCAGCTCTGTGAAGTAGAAAGCTCCTCCTTCAAAGTCCCCGTTGAGGTAGAGGATGGCACTAAAGGAAGTAGGGGACAAGAGGTGGCAACTATCACCCCAGGCCACAGCTCCATCAACTGGGAACACCTCCAATACCATGGCAAGAGTCAGAGGCGGGAGAGCCCAGGTTGGGTTGTCCTCCCATCCTGCTCCTCCCAAACCATGGTGCCCTCAGGCGGGAAAGCTCTGGCTAATAGACACCACTGGTACCTGTAATCCCGGAAGGTGTAGGCTGGAGGTTCCTTCACACAGACCAGGGCCTCTGCGTTGAGGATGCAGTTGTCTACGTGCACCTCGTGGCTGTTGTCACTCCGGCCTTCTTGCTTCTCTAGGGTGGAACAAGACCTGGCATGTCAGGAGCCCTTTGTCTCTGCAGGTCAGGATCTGTCCCCAAGCACCATGTGCTTGGAGGTGACAAGAAAGCCACCTGCAGCCTAAAGCGCTTCCACTCGCTGGAGGGTGAACCATGAGAGGCCATTTGGGTGGCACAAGCCTCCATTGACTTGTCCCACTGCATCTCTGTGGCCTTCCAGACACAGCCTCTCCCAGCACCCAATCCCAAATGCCTCCGAGTGCTGAAATTCCATACGGCATGAAGCCACCTGCCCCACGGGAGGCAACTGACAAAGTTGCTCATCTTCCCAAACTGGGCTTAGGGACAAGCTCCCCACACCTTCCTTTCGGGAAAAGGAACAGGTTAGAGAGCATCAAGGAGGTCTCCAAGTAAAAGTCTGAGACCAGTCCACCCCAGCTGTTGGAGAGGACCCAGATGAGAGACAAAGGAGACCTGCTTCTCCTTGAGTTGTGCTCATCTGAGGCCATACTCACCATCGATGGCTGTGCGGCACACCAGGTGGGAGTAGGAGAAGTGGAGCGGGACCTCCAGGCGGAAGTAAGACTCCATCATGTGCCGCACCTTCTCTGTCACGTTGTAGTAGAGGTACGCGCTCCGCAGGGGCACCTTGCCCTCCTGGCCAAGCTGTGGGGAATGGATGGGACACGAGTTCAGCCCTGGGCAGGATGGGCAAGCAGAGGCAGCTGCCTGCCTTCAGACCCCTCCTCCTTGGTCTCCACAGCCTGTTTCTCCCACAGCCACCCTGACCTTGAGGGCCTTGAGGACGGTCACGCCATAGAAGGTCTCACTGGGTGTGTGAGGAGATGTCTTCCCACGGTAGCCGTCCCCGGCCGAGGCAGCTGCCTGCAAAACCCAATCGGCGTTGACTTCTGAGCCACAGGATGGGACCCTTCGGCATCCCCTGCCCCATCCCTGCCCACTCCTCCCCTCCCTGTGCTCACGTTGGTGAGTCTCTGCAGCTCCCGGCACTCCTCGGCGGAGAGGACCCCATCCACCACAACACGCTGGGAGCCGTTCAGGGTTTTGGAGTTCATGGTGACACTAGCTCCTTCGTACACCAAGGGGCCCCCTGTGGCACAAACGGGGTCAGGAGGACACAGGGATGGGTGCCACCAACCCTGGGGTAACCAGCGCTGGGGGAAGCTGTGGTCCTGCCACCCGCTTCTGCCACCCCCCATGTGGAGGGACCGCAGGCTGGCAGTGGGGACACAGAGGTCCCCATCCCACCTCCCCTCCCAGCCCTCCGCACCTTCTCGGATGAACTTGCTCATATCGGCAGACTCCTTGGCCTTTTCCTCCACCAGTGTCTCAATCTCCTTCATAAGGTTGCCGATCTCCTCCGAGATGCGTGCTGCCGTCTCCCGCTCCACCCTGGGCACGTGGCAGCCATCAGCTCCACCGCCCCACTGTCCCCGCATTGGGAACAAGGGGCACCAGGACAAGGGCAGGACAAGTTGTCTCCAGGGGCCAGTGACAAAGCCCAAGGCTAGAGAGAGCCATCTCAATGCATCCCTCACCCTGAGCTGCTCGGGATGACCTACCCATCCCCATCACCCCAAGGGCTGACGGGGAGCAAAGCTCTGCGCTTCAGCGGCCCCTTCCAGCCCCCAAAACCCAAAAAACCTCCCTGGCAGCAGCTCCATGGCCATGGCCTTTGGCCCAAACGCCAGGGAGGAAGAGAGGCATGTCTCATCGGTCCTCCTCTTGGGTAGGATTGGCCGCCAGCTTGGAAGAGCACTCACTTTTGTTTCTCTCGCAGCCTTTTTGGTATGACCTCTTCGGGAGTCCATGTGTCCTACAGCCAGAAGAAGAACAACATCAGGAGCTGGATGAGGATCTGGCTGGGACGCAGACCCCTCATCCCTTCCCATCCAGCCACCGTGCCCAGCCTGGACCAGCACCACTCACCGGGTCCACGAAGGGGATGCCGAAGACGTCATAGCTGAAGAAGAGCAGCTCCTTCTCCATCAGGCTTCGCTGGTGGTATGCCTGGATCTCCTGCGGTGAGGGGCAGAGGGATGGAGTGAGGGCATGAAGAGAGGGCTCTGGAAAGACCCCGAGCGAGGGCAGGAGGGTGCAGGGTTTACACCATTCCCACGGTCTTTGCTCCAGACCCGCAGCCCGGGTTTGCCAGTCCCTCTGGCAACTGGGAAGCAAGTAGCTTTCCCCATCCTGCATGAACTTCCCTGTCCTGAGTGGATGAGCCCTGGGGAGAGGACAGGAAGAAACAGAGGCACAGGCACATCCCTCCTTGCAGGAAGCTCTTTAGAAGCAGATTCCATTCCCTGCTCCAGCTGACATGGGGCAGAGACCTCCATCCCTGCCTACCAGCTCTTGGGCAGCACTCAAGCATCTGCATCCAGCTATTTTGAAGCCAAATCTCCTTTTTAAGCAATTTCACTTCAGTTGTAGAAATCTGTAGCAGAGGTGGCCTCAGATTCTCCTAAAAAGTCTGTCCGTCTGCCTCTCCCAGACCTCTCCCACAAGAGCTGGTCCATTTGTGCAAGCCATCAAGCCTTCACTTGGCCAAAGATATTTTGCCAGCGACGTTTTCCGGCTTGTTGGGTCTTGCATCTATCCATTCCTCTCCACCTTGCCACCAAAGGGTGGCAGATCCATCCAGAGTAGACTCCAAAACCTCCACAAAGGTCCCCAAGGAGGGGAGAAGATATCCCTCGCACAGCTCATCCCAGCCGGTCGCTCACCTCTCGGGGCTGGATGGGTCCGGCCAGGTTCTCCCCCAGGACAGCGGTGTAATAGGCCAAATTCTGGTTCATCACTTCATCGTTTGGGAAGAAGAGCAAATAGGTTTTGGCGCATTCGATGGCTTTTTCGTAATTCTCATCTGCAAAGAGAAATGGGGCTGTTATGGCATGTCCAAGAGCATCGGAGATGGAGCAAACACGGGTAAGGAGGAGAAACAAGAGAGAAAGTCTTTGTTCTCCAAAGGGTCTCCCACGTAGGGCAGATAGAATCATAGAATGGTTTGGGTTGGAAGGGACCTCAAAGATCATCCAGTTCCAACCCCCCTGCCATGGGCAGGGACACCCTCC